AGCACACATGATCGGGGAGGGGGGCAGGGACAGAGGGAGAGGGAGAAGCAGACTCCCCACTGAGCAGGGAGCACAACGCAGGGCTCTGTCCCAGGACCCCAGGATCATGACCTGAGCCGAAGGCAGACACTTAACCGATTAAGCCACCCAGGCGCCCCTCTCCTTGACTTTTTTAAGCAACTTTATTAAGATAACTTTTTCAAACAACTCTTGGGGTGCCTGGGTGGCTCAGTCAATTAAGTGGCTGTCTCTTGATTGTGGCTCAGGTCATGATCTCAGGATCATGGGATCGAGCCCCAAGTTGGGCTCTGCACTGGGCGTGGAGCCTGCTTAAGATTCTCTCTCTTCCTCTCCCTGTTCCCTCCCCCACCACTGGTGTGCATGTTCTCTCTTTCTCTAAAAAAATAAAAAATGAAAATAAAACAACTCTTTACTGAATATTTATACTTGTAACAAAAGTTTTAGATAAGTCATACTGTTTTAAGCACTTATTCAGTGTTTAACCAGGCATATAACCTATAGAGAGAGCCCTTTGGGCTACTTTTAAGCTAATCGAAAAAGATTTAATTTGCTCTGTTAGTGCTTCTGATCAGTTGAAGCATTTTGACTCATCAAGGTATTGTGAGCATTTTGACAAAGTAATTATTCCTTCCTCATGTGGCTCTGTCTGCAGCAGAGTAGGACACGTTTAGCATCCCTGACCCTGTCCTACTAAATTGGGATAGCACTCTGCAGTCACTGGGAGAACCCGTGTCCTCACATGTTTACACATGCCCCTGAGGGGTTATTGCCCCTACTGCCACCTCTACCCTTGAAAAAAACCTCTGCTAAGGTTCTGAGTTGCCCCCTCTAACTTTACTTACTGCTGTTGCTATCGGATATAGCCTACAAAGAAAGTGTGAGTAGAGGAAAAACTGCGTTAAGTTATTCACATAAAAAAAGGAGGTAGCTTCTCACTTCTGTTTGTCTTTTTTAGCTGTTACTCAGTTTAAATTTAATTGCAAAACACTAAACCTGTAAACTAATTCTGGGACAGGTTTCTTAAGGGACCTATAATAATCTCTTACCCTTACGTGTGTTTCTGAGAGTTAAACTTTTATAACACTGGGACATTATTTAAGTATATGAGAGCAAGATGGGAAACATTCTGCAGACTAATAAAAATCGGTAAACTCCATGCTAGGCAACTTGTAGGTCCTATCTTACTTTGTTTCTGTATTACTGCCTTGTACCTCAAAATGGCACTATCTCCTGCCCCCGCCCCCCCCCCCCGCAACCCACCAGAATATACACAAGCCTTTTAGTGGATGTGTTTTGTTGGTCTGATTTTTAGCTTTTATTGCCTTTTCATAAAGAACACATGTCAAAAGCCCTGTATTAAATGGAAAGAATTGCATGACTTCCTTCTGCTCTTTATTTCGTTATTATTGGAATGAAGGCCGACTCTTCACTCTGCAATGATTCATTTCAAATGAGAAGTTGAGGGTAAGAGAGTCATTTTGTGGTAAAATCCCTAATATGTCCACCTCACTCAGGAGCATCTCTGCAGGAAAAATCATTAAACATGTGTTAACATCATTGATCTTCCCCATCCTCAAAGAAGGGGGAAGCTTTTCATATCATATAATTAAAAATGAGGATTAAGATGGGAAAATGGAAGGACAAAGGAGTTAAGTGACAAAGAACTTCTGTTCTCTTCAGAACTTCTCATATATCCCCTTTCCCCCAAGTAATGCTTGTGGCCCGTCTAGGTGCCCAGTAATAAAAACAACAGTATAAATATGTGGAATAGTAAATGCCGCTCTTATTCACTCTGTCTGCTCTTCTGACTTGGCTGTGTGCTATTGATGGTCTCCTTTAAAAACAGCTTATTTGTTTAGTATGAAATTAGAAATTACATAAGAACTTATGGAAGAGTAGGGCTTGATGGGGTTATTTGATTTTTGTTTTTTTGTGTTTACAGTTCTTTTTTTTTTTAAGATTTATTTATTTATTTTGATAGTGCAAGATCGAGGGAGGGGCAGAGGGAGAAGGAGAGAGAGAGAAGCAGACTCTTCGTAGTGCAGAGCCCGATGCAGGGTTCAATCTTAAGACCGTGAGACCATGACCTGAGGTGAAACCAAGAGTGGGTTACTCAACCGACTGAGCCACCCAGGTGCCCCTACAATTCTTTTTTTTTTTTCTTAATTGAAGTATAGTTGACATACAACGTTATATTAGTTTCAGTTGTACAGCATAGTGATTTGACAATTCTATACATTATGCCGTGCTACAGTAAGTACAATCACCATCTGTCACCATACCAAGTTATTACGGTATTATTAAGTACACTCCCTGTACTGTACTTTTCATCTCTGTGACTTGTTATTTTATAACTGGAAGTTTGTACCTCTTAATCCCCTTCACCTATTTTGCCCACCCCTCCAACCCCCTCTCTTCTGGCAACCGCCATTTTGTTCTCTGTATTTATGAATCTGTTTCTGTTTTGTTTGTTGTGTTTTTTAGATTCCACATGTAAGTGAAATCATACAGTATTTGTCTTTCACTGTCTGACTTATTTCACTTAGTATAATACCCTCTAGGTACGTCCATGTAATCACAAATGACAAGAGTTCATTCTTTTTTATGGCTGAGTAATATTCCATTGTGTATATATATATGCCACATCTTCTTTATCCATTCATCTGTTGATGGACACTTAGGTTGCCTCCATATCTTGGCTATTGTATGTAATGTTGCAGTGAACAGAGTGATACACATATCTTTTCAAACTAGTGTTTTCATTTTCTTTGGGTAAATACGCAGCAGTGGAATTACTGGATTGTATGGTATTTTTATTTTTAAGTTTCTGAGGAACCTCTATACTGTTTTCCATAGTAGCTGTACCAATTTACATTCCCACCAACAGACATGAGGGTTCCCTTTTCTTCACATTCTCACCAACACTTGTTATTTCTTCTTGTCTTTTCTATAATAGCCATTCTGACTGGTATGAGGTGATATCTCATTGTGGTGCTAATTGTTAATTTTAACAGTATAGAGCCCTCACTTTGCAGTTATGTAAATCTTGAGATTTCTATCATCTCTTTGAAGACAATAATCATATCTTAAAGAACTTTATGTAACCCTAATAGTACCTTGCATGGAGTAAGGACTTAATAGTGTTAGATGGATTGGTGGAAGAAAAGTATCAGTTGATGATTAAAAATAAAAATATTTTCAGGACACCTGGGTAGCTTGGTTAAGTGTCTGCATTCAGCTCAGGTCATGATCGCAGGGTTGGGTCCTGGGATCGAGTCCCACCTCAGGCTCCTTGCTCAGTGGGGAGCCTGCTTCTCCCTCTGCGTGGCATTCCCCCTGCTTGTGCTCTCTCTGTCTCTCTGACAAATAAATAAAATCTTTAAAAAATAATTAAATAAGTAAATAAATAAATTTTCTTTTGTCCTTATATTCATAAACGGGGCTGAAAATGATTGCTCTATTTCAAACTCTTAGTTCCAAAAGGAGGAACAGGGATCTTAAAACTATTTATAGTTCTTAATTGTTAATATTTGACTCATTACCTTCTTCCCTAAATCTAAACTAAAATACTGTATATTGTGGCTACTCAGAAGTTTATAAACTAAGCTACCAAAAAAATTGATTTGCAGGAAGCAGCATAAAAATTTTTGAAAGACAGGGTACCTGGGTTGCTCAGATGGTTAAGTGTCTGCCTTCAGCTCAGGTCATGATCCTCAGGTCCTGGGATTGAGTCCCACATCGGGCTCCCTCATCAGCAGGGAGTCTGCTTATTCCTCTCCCACTGCTGTTCCCCCTGATTGTGCTCTCTTGCGCTCTCTGTCAAATAAATAAAATCTTTAAAAAAAATTTTTTTTTTTTGAGAGACTAGGTAATGTCTGCCAATTTAACAATGTCCTTTAGGCTTTGAAGACCTGTGGTTTAGAAGCCATGCTTACCTTCTAAGAGGAACTTTCCTATGCTTTTTTTTTTTTTTTTAAGAGAGCACAAGCAGGGGGAGGGGCAGAGGAGAGAGAGAAGCAGACCCCAGTCCTGCAGAGCGGGGAGCCCTCCATGGGGCTCGATTCCAGGACCCTGGGATCATGACTTGAGCCGAAGGCAGACTCTTGACTGACTAAACCACCCAGGTGCCCCTACTTTTGCTATATTTGATGAAATGGGTGATGGGAAAGGATTCTTTTGGCACTATGCCAAAAATAGAATTTTAGAGATTACAGTTTTAGATGATTGAGCTTCAGGTTTGGGGCCCCATCAGTAAAGTCTAGGCCTAATGTTTCTGACTACAGTTATACAGCATTTATTTATTGACTTAAACATCTCATAGTTTAGGCTCAGTTCTGACTTTCACAAGTGCTAATAGAGAGGGTCTTTTCTGATCCCCTTAGCCAAAAGCACTTCAGAACTTAATTCTGTTATTGTATTTCCTTTTTTGTAACAAAAGAACTTGAAAGGTATAGATAGGGACCATTTGAGATTGTGAAACCCCTCTGAGATCATTTTAATTTTAAAAGTAATTAATTCCAAGAGATTAGATTTTCTGTGATTTATAGGATGATAAAATAAAGCTTCTATGGGTTTTACAATCTAATAGAATTATGAGGTTTATTTTTAGTAGTTGTTCATAGTTGATAAATCATGTTGCAGGTATATCCACCCCCTTCATAGCACGCACATCCACTTATATTTGTATACTCTGCCCTCAGGAACTTTGAAAAATTAGTTTGGCTCTGAACCAAAGAGCAGATTATGTTCTTTCTAGCTGGCTTTTGTTTCACCTGTGTCTTCATATTCTGTCTGTCCTTATATACTCTTTTTTTGTTGTTGTTGTTATAGCACAACTTATATATTTCAAATGGACAAAAAATTAGTATCGTTTACAGTATCTTAAGATAAATTGCCTTTGAATGGGGGCTTCCTTTCCAGTACTTTGAGGTCTACAAGACGTATCTAGAAAATGTACTACTGTGGAAAATGACTGCTTAAATCGAATGGGGGGGAGGGGGGAGGGCCTGTGGTTTCTCTTTTTGATTAATTGCTGTAACACTGTCCTTCAGGCGGCTGAGGGAGTTTCATGTTTTCTTTAGACATCATTAGGCGCCGGAGCTCTTGCAGGACAACTTTGATGCTATATGAATTCTGCCATTTTGCTAGCACTGATATGGCTCTTGGGTCCACCACTCCATTAGAACTATTAACTCCATTCATATTAATTTTTGTTACAAATCTTACAAAGGGGGGTGCTTCTGGGTATTTAGGTCCACATTCTATTTTAAGGCTGTATATTCGGTTTTCAGAAATTGTCCGAGCCCGTAGTGGCTGCCATCTTGCATCGCTGTCGCTGGAAGACCGGCCCCTTCTTCCTGTCCTTATATACTCTTAATCCTTGCCCTATTCAGAATCTTTACCAGATGAAGTTTTTAAGAAAATGTTTTCATCTATCCTGGATAAATATCAGGACCCCTTCTGCAGGCTCCTAGTCTGTATGGAATAGCAAATACAGCAAGCAGAGTATCTAAATTTTTTTTTTCTGTGAACTTAATAATACCATGTTTGATACCCAAAATGTAATATGCTTACAAATTCTAACTACAGTTTTCCTCTTCATATGGTTATGGACACTGCTGATCTTGAGTATTGGTTTATTGGGGGAAAGGGAGAACCATGTTCTTCAACTAGGGAAAAAGAAAAAAAAAAAGAGTTGGAATTCCAAACATGCCTTTTTGAGACGAGAGTCGACAGTCGACAGTCGTGGTGTACTGGTTCCTCTAGTTAAAGCCCTTCAGTGACATTCAAGGAATCTCCATTCATGCCTCAGACCAACAAAGGATTTGCAGGGTGCATTCGGGTAGTTTGTTTGTATGGTGAAACTCTGACAGTTGGACACTAGAGATGATTCTGGGAATTTAATCAACCATAAGAAAATCATTCTTTGGTGTTTGTCCACACATCCCACCAAAAAAGAAAATTTTGCATAGTAAGTAGGGACTTTTTGTAGTATTTTCAGATTTTACTGATCAAGCAATATAATTTTGGGTCAGATTTAGTTGAGAGCACATATCTTCTGCCAGTTTGATAACTCAGGGATGAGAAAACTATCCTCCTCTCATGCCAAGTAGAAACTACTCTTTCTCTTCTCCCCAGAGAAGGACTTGCACTAGCTCTTTGTTCTTTGCTTTCGAACTTTTTTGACCATGACTCACAGTAAGAAATGCATTTTACACTGTGACCCAGTATATAGATGTGTTCTAACAGAAACAACGGTTCCATGAAAGCATACCCTTACTCTCTGTGTAATGTACTCTGACATTTGCTATTCTGTTTCACTTTTTATTGACCTGGTTGTGAACCACTAAATTGATTCATGACCACCTAATGAATCTTAGTTCATTGTGCCTTTAGCCCAAGTGATTGCTTACTGCCATTAAAAAAACAATTCTTTGGTGAACACAAAATCTTAATTATATCTGTAATGAGAGACTGTCTTTTGAAAGATATTTGGGGTTAAAAGAAGTTACCTCATTTGCCCCCATTTCCCACCCTTGGAATATGAAAGAACTGGGTGGGTTTTTTTAACTTTTTATTTTGAAACAATTTCAAACTTACAGAAATATTTTAGGAATAGTACAGGGGTGCCTGGTTGGCTTGGTCGATTAAGCTTCTGATTTCAGCTCAGGTTATGATCTCAGGGTCCTGGGATGGAGCCCTGTGTTGGGCTCCCTGCTCAGCCAGGAGTCTACTTGTCCCTCTGTCCCTCCCCCCACTCATGCTCACTCTCTCTCAAATAAATAAAACCTAAAAAAAAAAAAAAAAAGAATAGTACAAAGACCCTTGTATAGTCTTCACCCAGAGGCCACATTCAAATTTCACCAGTTGTCCCAATAATGTTCTTTGTAGCAGAAGGATCCGGTACAGGATCACACATTAAACCTGATTCTCATGTGTCTCTAGTTTGGTCTTTCCTTGCCTTTTGTGACCTTGGGTTGTTTGTTTTTGTTTTGTTTTGTTTTGTTTTAATATTTTATTTATTTATTTGACAGAGAAAGTACACAAGCAGGGAGAGAGGGAGAAGCAGGCTCCCTGCTTAGTGGAGAGCGTGATGCAGGGGCTCGATCCCAGGGCCCTGGGATCATGACGTGAGCTGAAGGCAGAGGCTTAACTGACTGAGCCACCCAGGCGCCCTGACCTTGGTATTTTTTAAGATAACAGGCCTGTCATGTATGTCCCTCAGTTTGGGCCCAGTGTTTACTCATAAGTATACCCAATTTATGCATTTTTTATTTATTTTTTAAGGATTTTATTTATTTATTTGAGAGAGAGAGAATGAGAGATAGAGAGCACGAGAGGGAAGAGGGTCAGAGGGAGAAGCAGACTCCCTGCTGAGCAGGGAGCCCGATGTGGGACTCGATCCCGGGACTCCAGGATCATGACCTGAGCCGAAGGCAGTCGCTTAACCAACTGAGCCACCCAGGTGCCCAATTTATGCATTTTTTAGTGTCGCAGAAGTGATCCTTTGCTCTTCTCGTTGTGCCTTAACACTTTGTCCCACTACTGGTAGTGTTGAGCTTTGATCACTTGATTAAGATAATATCTGCTAGGTTTCTCCACAGTAAAGCTTCCTTTTCCTCGTTTGTGATTAATAAGTATTTTATGAGGCAATACTTTTGAGATTATGTAAAATCCAGTTCCTCATCCTATTTTTATCTACTAGCTTTGGTATCCACTAATGTTCCTTTCTTGGATTGATTTTATGTTGATGTTTGCCAAGTAGTGATTTTTCTGATTTCATTACTCCTACTTTTATTAGTAGGCATTTTATTGTAAGGAAGAACTTTCTCTTGTTTCTTTTTTTCATTCATTCATTTATATTAATGTGTGCTCATGGGTTCCTATTTTGTTCTGTGGGTTATAACTTTTCACTATCATTATTTATTTTGATGCTCAGATTGTTTCAGGTTTGGCTTTTTAAGCGGGTCTTCATGTCCTTTTGTCATGTTCCCATTATTGTTAAAGTGCTTCCTTACTTTCTGACACAAGAGACCAAGGCTTGTTTTCTATCCCTGCCCCAACTCGAATTAGTCATTTCTCCAGGGAGCCCTGTTCCTTTTAATGGACAGTGGCACATAGAAACAATGGTCTGGGCACTAGGTGTGCGAAATGCTGCTGGAGTGTTGCTCTTCCCACGTCTCTCAGTGCACAGAGCTAGGAAATACATATATAGATGCTTTACTTAGACACACGTGCACACGCACATTCTTACATCTTTAGTTATTTATGTCTGTATATATTGAAAATCACTAGTTCACACTGATACCTTTGATCCTGCGTATCACGAGGTTTATCCTAGGTTTCCCTATTTTCTTATTTATACCTGCCTTCTCCAGCATGGAGAAACCTAGCTCCCATTACCCTCAATATGTTTGTTTATTTGCTCAACCCCCCTGTATAAAGCCAATCCCCTAATTAGACTAGGTTACTGCCTCTTGGTATTGAGAGGATCAGATGAGATAATGTATGTTAAAACACTTTTTTTCCCTAAGATTTTATTTATTTATTTGAGAGACAGAATGAGCGAGAGAGTACAAGCAGGGGGTGGGGGGCTGAGGCAGAGGGAGAAGCAGGCTCTCTACTGAGTCGGGAGCCCGATGCGGGGCTCAAGCCCAGGACTCTGGGATCATGACCCAAGCCGAAGGCAGATGCCCAACTGACTGAGCCACCCTTGTGCCCCAAAACACTTTAAAATATAAAAAAGTTTACCACTGCCTAGAAGTAGATATAAAAAAGAAGCAAAAATAGACAAGAATAATAGTTGGGAGTAGTAGACTTTTACATTTCCTATTCAATTGCCAGTGAGTAATGAAATCGCTGTATAAATCTTACAGAAACAGGTCAGGGAACCGACTGATCATACTTGTTCTTGCCATGTCTTTGAGGAATAATGTAACCTGGTGACTTTCATTCTGGAGAGTGAAAAAGTATCCCTCCTAATCCTTCCCTAGACAATCGTGCTTGCTATGGGAACGTTACTGTTTAGGTTTACGTCCATATTTCTTTTCTTTTCTTTTCTTTTTTAAAGATTTTTATTTATTTATTTATTTATTTGACAGAGAGAGACACAGCGAGAGAGGGAAGACAAGCAGGGGGAGTATAAGAGGGAGAAGCAGACTCCCTGCTGAGCAAGGAGCCTGATGTGGGGCTCAATCCCAGGACCCTGGGATCATGACCTGAGCTGAAGGCAGACGCTTAACCGACTGAGCCACCCAGGCGCCCCGTCAATGTTTCTTTTCTGAGTGAAAAGATCTAATAAAGAAAAACTCACTCTTACCAGATGAGATTAACTATATAAGTAGGATCTAAAACAGATTCATAAATCCGAATTCCCAAAATAATTGGCCTTTCAGACACAGTATAGTTCTGTGAGACTTGCTCCCCAATAAAACCTGAGTCTAGTTTCCCGATGACACTGGATTAATTGTGGTGGAATTGATCGGTCTTCTTAAGTTTTTTAGATTGGGAATGAAGTAAGACCTCTTAATAAACCCTTGTCAACCGGTATTCCTCAGACCAACCCCCAAGTAGCTGATCACTTCCCTTCATTTAATTTCACAAAATTGGTCGTAAGAATAAAGAAGATGTCAAGATAATTAGGGGAAAAAAGAGTGGCATGCTGGGAAGATTTGAAGGAAAAAGTATAAATTTCGTGTAGGAAAAGGAAGGGCAGGATAGAGTTTCCAAGAGCTCAGAGAGAAGTGAGTTGTTACTTTGGGGCTAAACTCATTGGCTTAGAAAGCATTTGGCCTAGAAATGTTGGATAGGGTAGTGATGACAACAGAGTGCAAAAGATTAAATTTGAGATGTTTCAAGGCCAAATCCAAAAACCTTCAACACTAAGCAAATAAATTCCTTTCTTTTTAACTCTTAATTGTCCCTGTGGGTTATTCAGTCCTGTCGTCTTGCATTTCTGCTCCTGTCTCTGCTTTCTTTCTTCATTTCTGACCCTTTTCCCCTTACCTGTACCCCTTTCCCATCTTGTTCTTCCCTGATTATGGCATTTTAGAAAACTCTGGTAAGCTGTATACTCAGAGACTCAGCCGTTAAAGTCTCTAATGTACAGAGAGATTCCTTTGCAGTGGGCCAAAGTTTCAATTTGCTGGGCTTCCTTGTGGTGCGGCAGGAATGACCTGTCATTCAAGTGGAACATAAAGGGCCTGAAGGTGCTTTGACCGATGTGTCTGTCAGGGCTTTGTTACTTAATAGATCCAGAAGTTGAAAAGTTCCCATTCTCATATTTAGCGAACGGTTCAGAGAAATTCAGCCGTTGAAACTGCTGCTTATTACTCTAACTGAAGCAGTGGATACCAGAAGGTTTGGTGGGTTTCACCCCTGAGCATGTCCCCGAAGAGCCTCCCTTTATTCCTAGAAGCTGGCAGGCTTTCTTTTCCTCCTGCAAGTGGCAACCCGAATTCTGAGTTGAAAGTGAATCTTTGCCCTTGGCTCTTCTCCAGCATTCCTCGCTGAGCGAATAGGGATTTGGAATGTCAGAAAATAGAAGAGGGGAGGGGAAAAGATGTGTGTATGACTGTGAGTGTTTGTATGTAAAAGCAGCTTCGTCTGGGAGGACTTAGGGAAACTTCACTTCCTCAGATGGCTTCCTTCTCATAAACTCTTGGTTCCTTATTTGTATTTTTTTTGTTTTTGTTTTTTGTTTTTTTAAGTTGTTTAACCTGAATTTATCACAGCAGTTCTAAACCCCTTCCAGCCCAGTGGAGTCAAGCTAAGGAAAGACAGCATGATTTCCAGAGGATTTCTGTTTCTTCCCTCTGGATAAAGTGACGGTAGTTCGTCCCAGGCTCGTCTCCGGCGGGATCCAAAGTCGTCTTTCCTCTGGGATTTAATCCAGTGTCATCGGGAAACTAGACTCAGGTTTTATTGGGGAGCAAGTCTCACTAAGAAGTGTCCTTTTGGGAGAATCAAGGACTCGATCTAGGCATAAAAGGTGTGGCTCAGCACAATACCCTCCATCGTAAGCTACCAGTCCCGAGCACTTGTGGTTGAAGCTGGACTGAAAATATTGATGGAACACGCCTCTCAGATTCTGTTTAACTGTGGACTGGTTCAGAGTGCAAGACTATAATTTACAGGCTGGCTTTTATCCTTTATTTAGTTCTCTCCAAAGTCTTCTTGCATCAAGTCAAAAGGAGAGATTCTGTGAGGGTAACCTGCAAGGGCAGTTTCCCAGCTTTGCCTGAAGAATCCAGTGGTTGAGTGTCTATCTACATCCTGAGGAACCATGTCCTCTTTATATACCCGAAGTAAAGAATTCACTCGGAATAGGAAATCTCAGTCTGATTCTCCCCCAGCATCTCCCTCCCCGACTGCCAAGACACTCCGAGTAAGCAGCATTTTATTTACATATGTTCATAGTTGTGTCAAAGGTGGAAAATGTGTATGTAACTTGGGGAGTTAGGTTTGGAGCAAAGGCATTTCAGAGCATATGGGAATTGGTAGAGGAAAAAAGAAAATTTGAAAGTAAAGACCCTGTTAGCTTTTCTGCAGGAGGTTATGGTTCATAATACTTACTGTAGTCTTAAGTAAAAGCAGACTTAAATATGTCAGACTACAATTTCTGTCTTAGCTTTTAACTGTCAGTTGTAAGATTTTAGAGTCCTTGTCTTTATATCTTACAGGCGTTTCTTAATTTCTGTGGCTATTTTTAGTTGCTCCCTTTCCTGTTTTTTTTTTTTTTGTTTTGCTTTGTTTTTTTGGTGGGTCAGTACTATGTTTCTAGAGAAAAATCTCCCAAATGGCCATGAAACTATATACATTAAACTTCAGTTATGTGGAAGTTCCTCATGAACGTTTGTGCAGGAGTGTATGTGAGAAAGAGTATGCCCTTGCCTGTTTTATGTGTCCGTTGAGTGATAGCGAGAAAAAATGAAACGAGCAAGTAGTTATGGACACTCAGAGTCTTTCCTACTCCTCACTCACCATCAGGAAGTTTCATGCTTATAAACTCAGAGAAAGAACTCCTAGCTATTGACAACCAGCTGTATGGAAGTGTTTGTAATATCCTAAGCAGATCCACTTGAGTTTTTTTCTCGAGTGTATGTTTCTGTAGAAGCGATTTGCATCTGATTTAGTGTCTTCCTCTGTAAGAAACTGACACAAGCAAGGACTGCTACCAATAGCAAGCGATGGAAGCCCCGATGGGCATATTAGGTAGTAGGCAAGGTAGCAGTTCCTTCTTAGGGAACAAGATTGTGCTCTACTGTAGGTACAGAATAGCAAATATGATGGTCATAGCTTCCTTATTTGGGGAACTGTGGGGGAAGAATCTGCAAGAAACCTGAATTGACTACTGCATTTCTGAGTTATTTTATATTCATTTTCAGTGTCTTTCTCATGGGATAAATTATCATGGAGTGGCATTTGCTATGTGACATGTTGGTCTAGGACATCAGCTAGGGATGTTTAGTTACCAGAATACCAAAAGGATTTTGTTATAAAGCTATTTCATTCATGACTTCTTTTGGTGAAAGGACTGAGAGGCTCCAGTGTATATGTCACCATTGTTGAGTTCCAGGAGAGTTTCATAGGCTGCTGCCTTTCTTTTCTAAGAAGCCGTAGAGTGTGGGGCACCAGGGTGGCTCAGTCGGTTGAGTGTCCAACTTCAGGTTTCAGCTCAGGGTCGTGGGATCGAGCCCTGCATTGGGCTCCGAACTGAGCATGAAGCCTGCTTGGGATTCTCTCTCCTTCTCCCTGTGCCCCGCCCTGTTCACACGTGCACACTCTCCCTCCCTCTCTCTGTCTCCCTCTCTCTCTCAATTCATTAATTATTAAAAATAAAAGGGACTGTAAACATATACTTATTAAAAAAAAAAAAAAAGCAGCAGCAGCCACAGAGTGCTTCCCCCTCAGCAGCTGTTGGGTACTTTTTGGTGGCTCCCAATTGAGGTCCACAAAATGGAGCACTTTTAGTTCAGTAGTGTTTCCCTTTGTTCCCATCCCTCTTATCAAACTCAGCAGTATCTTTGGTGTAAAGAGCCCATTGTTAACATTTGTTCACTACTGTAACCACAGTTCCTGGAGCAATGTGTGATACCTCATGAGCATTCAACAAAATCTGTTTAGTGACACACACGCCTTTTCCCTTTCTGTTTGAAACCCATTTCTTCTTTACAGTTAAGTACTACTTTCTTCTTGTCACAGTCCTAATGGCTGTCATCCCCCCTTTCCACCCTCATTCCACCATCCCCCCATCCCTGACTTTTTAGACAGAGGTCATTGTGGGAGAGAATTTGAAAATTTGGATTACAGGAAACCAGCACATGGATGGCCTTAATAAGAGACTGCTTCCCAATTTTAGTGGTCAGTGGCTGTGGATTCCCATAATAGCATCCACTTACTGTAACCAACTTCCAGGTCCGCATAGCCTTAGGCTCTACTCTAAAGAGTTGATTTTTGTATATCATTCATGTTCTATTATATTGCTTGTGCCTTTACTATCTGAGAGTGAAAGATATGCAAGACTAATTTGGAGGCTGTTGACACTCTGAATGGGTTATAAAACTAAGATCTATCTGTTAAGATTCCCCTGTAGCCTAGTTTCCTCTCATGTCCTAACTAATTAGGGTGCTGCTTACAAACTGTTTTTTTTTTTTTTAAGATTTTTATTTATTTATTTGACAGAGAGAGCACAAGTAGGCAGAGAGGCAGGCAGAGGGGGAGGGAGAAGCAGGCTCCCTTGCCGAGCAGGGAGCCCGACGTGGGGCTCGATCCCAGGACCCGGGATCATGACCTGAGCCTAAGGCAGCTGCTTAACCGACTGAGCCACCCAGGCACCCCACAGATGGTTTTGAATGCTATGACCGTCCCTCTTCTCACTCCGTATGTGGTGGCAGTGTTGCGCTCATATGCCTTCTGATGCCCGGTTATTTAACTGGCTGCTGCTTCACCTGCATTACTTCATTTAACCCCCAGCTACCCTGGAAAGTGGGTGTTGCTATCACCATTTTACCTATGAGGAAACCGAGATACATGGAAGAGAAGTGGCTTACCCACATCACTCAGCTAGTAAGCAGCAGAGCCTGGTATCTCTGGCTCCAAAACCCATATTTATCCACAACAGTGATTTCATACCAAATACACTGGAAGGTTAAGGACATTCTAGGGTCAAAGATGACAGTTAGAAGCTTAGGTAGCTGTGGGAATCCAAAGTTCAGGCAACTTTGATTTCAGGAAACTGAAATTGTAGGCAGGAGGAAGGCAGTGTCTACAGACCAACAGAGGGAATTGACAGGCTCTGCTGAATCTCCCATGCCTGATTCTCAAATCCTAGTCAGAGCATATGAAACCGTGGATCCCACAGAGCCTGAGACCTTATGGGCTACAGGTCTTCATATTTCAGAGGCAAGAAATACTTGAGTAAAGATGCTGGGACATGTCTGTGTGCATCTCAGTTACAATCAGAACACCTCTTTCTCTCTCCTCATGCAAACTTGTGCACATTCGGTTTTCTGCTAAAAGTTGCACAAAGAGGTGTAGCCTCTGAAGCCAACATTCTTCAAAACAAATGATTGAAATTTTGAGCCAGTGTATAAATATTTAATTTTCTTCTTACTGTTGGTAAAGAGGCTAAATATTAAATGGTTCCATATAAGGAAAATGTTCTCAAAGGGAATTTTTAAATAAAGGCTATTCACATGGGGAGCATATTTTGGACACCTTGCTCTTAGCCAGATGTTCAAGAAGCAGTGTGGGCAAACTAAACTGTAACTCAAACAGGTATAATTTTTAACTTGAGAAAACAAACAGCAGGATGATTTATCAGTCCTGGAAAACTGAAACTGTCTTATCAGACCTTTACTTTTCAACTCTCAACAGCTTCTGATACTTTTAACGTTACATAATTCAGTGTTTCTGTACTCAGTAAACTAGGGCCCTTCTTAATAATATAAAAATGTAATGCTGGCCTAGAGATTGTACAACTAGTATCCTCCCTAATGAAAAATCACTTATATAAGGAATA